CAAACCGCCGAAGAATTCTATACTTTCTGAAGCGCGACGGTACAGATGTATGTGGATGTTCCGCAGTGCGATATAAGTGGCGATCCCAGTGTTTATTGAATTTAGCTGTATCTGAGCCAGAACAGCAATAACTCGTTCTCCAGGTCACCTGTTTTAATGTTGTTTTTCCTTCAGTAGGCCAGTTCCGTTTCCATCCGATTAGCCGGACATGCTCAGATAGCATTCTTCATTTCCTGTATAGCAGGATCTACAGGGCTTTTAAACACAAAGTACAACTGACTATATATGTGCTGTCGTAATTTTTTTACTGAAATTAGGGCCGTTTAGATTTCTACGGTATCCGGTTTTCCCCACCATATGGCAAGCTTTTCGCTGAAATTTGGACTAATACATGAAAATTGTCTTTGGACGTGAGCTGTGAACCTGTAAGCACCGTTGTACAAATTGAGCTATTCGGTTAATTGCCAGTGTGCGATGATCCCGACTAGGTATCAGTCGACTTAGGGGATGCCACCTTCTTAACTGTGGCCGATCCTATAGATCTTCGATCAACCTGAATGAACCGACTGATTATCTATTGAGCCGTCTGGAAGCAATTTCGTCTGACCAGTTGCTTAACACTATTCACCTCACACCACGTTCCGGTCAGTGAACACTGGATTTTAGCCAGAAAACACCAGGCTTCAGCAAGACATCAGTTGATCAGTGCGTCAACGTGAGATCCTAGGATCCTGACATGGAATGGTTGCTAAGTCTTGAGCGTTTCTTCTCTCCAAGAGGACAACTTTTCATCAGACAGCATTTAAAGTTGGGATCATCTATCTCGATAATGCAGCATTGGTGATCAGGCAAATCCTCACAATAATCGGTTCTTCAACTTATTTCATAATAAAGTATTAAACAAGTCTGGTTGACTCTAAAAGTCGTCCCATTCAACCAGTGGAATTACGCGACAGAAGGTTATTCCCTCTTTGAAAACTGTTTTTCCGTCAGTTAGCCTGTTGGCATCTGTTTCTCTGCACACATTTTCGGTGGTTCGTTTAGTCATATGAACTCATAGTGATGGGAAAGTTTACTTCCTGTTTTAGGTGGAGCCTTGACCTCAATATCATGGATTCACGCAAGAAGCGAAAGCAAAACTTGACGGTCAACTTAAAACTGACCACACTGATAATTTTATTTGCCCGAAACCTCCAATTTCTTGATCTTGTGGCGGGCACTAACCTTGTCAGTAAATATGTTGTGGTCAGCGTTCTATAGTCAGACGGTGGCGCGATTTTGGCCAATATGCAATCCTATTTTGACAGTAAAACCGATGGAGTCATCAATAACTTGCAAGTGCTCTCTTTCACTTCTGACGACAAAATCATACGTCCTTGTGTCTCTGAGTGGCTGATTGATCATTCAGCGACAACGTTATAGCTAAATTTCATTTAGCGATTCAAACGGTTGGTCAATCTTCAGGTTCTAATTGCGTAGCTCCCAAAGCAAACCGCCTTGTCAATAGCTTTTATCCATCGAGTTTATTGTCTCACAAATGGGATGTAATTTCTCTCGTGTGAGCCAGAGTTCATCAATTCGCCTGAGCATTGTTTTTGAACTTGATTCTGTGCCGCATCAGGTTTATTGGCCAGTTTGACCTTTCAACATTGGTTTGGGACGGCAAAGTTAGCTGTGGCTTATATTATCTTCCTACTCATCCATCTTCAGCGTCGCATCAAGAGTAAAGCGGTGCCTACCCCCAACCCAAACAAGGTACCTAGGCCATCGCGGTCTCAAACGCCCAGACCGTAGCAACCCGTCCATGTCCTGATTCCGGGATCTCGGGGAGACGCACTGATTGGCTGATGTTGTCTTGAAGCCTAGTGCTTGCTTTCATTGGCCGAAACGCGGCGTGAAACCAGTTAAGACCCTTCAACTGCCCTCGGGAGCACAGTGCATGGGTTTGATTCTTGTAACTTTCTTCTGCATGAAGTTCGACGTTCCGGTTTACTGGACTTAGTACAAAAGCGTGTTTTATACGTGCTCGACATTTCTTTCTATTCATATAAGCGGTTGGTGTGTTACGTGGAGCCCCTCATCGTTACACCATGTGATTCCTAACCGGGCCTTGGAGGACAGGATACGAATGTAACCAAACCAGTCTTAGGACGACTGATCAACTTGCCAAAGGGGGACTGTGCCCTATTCGACATGTCATGGTTTCTACGTGACCAGCTCCTTCTTACGTTCTCCCTGAAGAACTGAACGTATGGACAGACCACCACAATGGTGGCTTACCTTCGCAGAAGGACCTACTGCGATGGCTCATCGATTTTGGGCATGCGACAGCTGCGTTTGATCTGAGGTTGCTTGCACGCATATATTGCTCAATAGGGGGCGTAGTATGGTCTTCCCGACGGCTTGGACAATCCAAAGCTCCTCAGGGGATTGACGGGTGTGCCGGTGAGTCAACACAAACCACAACACAGTTGTCTCGGTGGCTGTGATGGAGTGATTGGAACCCAAGACAAACGATGAGTCGTATACCAGAGGATAAGGCTTTCGAATTCGTACTCGGATGGAATAAACGGACCGTTTGGAATATGCACCCCGTTGTATACGTTCAAACGGATCACCTATGGCAGCATTTTACTCACTGTGTTGTAAAATAATACTAATACTGCCTTGGGACTGTCAAAAAAAGAATCGATGACGTTCAAGGGGCTACAGTATGCAGTTCTGCTGTCAGAAAAGTAAGATTCCTGAAAATCATCCCACCATGCCCGAAACCTACTGAGACTCTCAAACACTGCTAAGATCTCATCGAGGGAGACATCAAGCATCCAGGCCAGTCGATCCATCAATGAATTCAGCAACAGCTTGGATCAATAAAAGTGTGATTTAAATTAGCACGGGACTCATTGTACGGATGCATTCGCTTGTTATCACTAAAGCTGTTGTGTTCTTGTTGACGAGTGTTCTGACAACAAGGCTCAGAAACGGGAGACAGCAGTTACATATAACATCTGCCTTACGGAAAGCTTTTTTGTTCAGTGACGATTTTGCTGCACAAATGTCCTTCAGGATGAGACTAAGGGATCATTTTTCCCGATCGAGAGATAACACAAATACAGGTTTGGGCGATTGGGTTCTAGTTGTATTCCACCCAGTAGTTTACGTACGTTTAATCTGTTCATGCGCTTACGGGATCAGATCACAGCATTTACATACCTTGCTACGCTTATGAGCTGTGGTCCATCAGGTTGACCAGATATGAATAGTTGGTGTATTTTCACTCGGTGTTAAGCTACCTCAACTGAGGAAACTTTCAATATGGATTCGATACGAATCAGCTCACGAATCAGAATCCAACTGCCATTTTGGAGTGTTGCCTTCACAATACATCCTTCCGTGCACAACTGAACGAGATTACCTTTTTCTAATGCTAATTACCTCGGTTTCTCAGAGTTTCGCTCCGCTAAGTGGTTATGTGTGCGTTCGCCAAGGATAAGCGTCATGTTCTGAACGAATGACTCCCACAAAAATCATCTGGATGCCTACGGATGTCTCGACGGCTCATATTCAATACACGTGAGGTAAACAAACATCTCCCGTCCGCGAGAGCAGAAAATGCGTTTGCTGTCTAGTTGTCGGTCTTTATGACATTTCTAAAGAAATTTCGAGTTTATATTTGTAATGCGCTACTCATAAGGTTGCTGAAAATTCGTCGACAGCCCACGACCGGTCCCACCCTTCTTGTGGCTCATCAGGTAGGCGCAGTCCCCGAGTTTCCATCAACCTTATGTTCGAGTTTGTTAAGATGCTGATTTTCTGGCATGTGGCCTAGGATTCTAACGTAAATAAGCATTTCCTACTTTAGACTGGCAAAGAAAATCACACGAATTCGGTTCCTCCTGTGTTTGAGCCTATCGACTAGCTCAGCCACATTGTTTCCGACCACGGCAAAATACGGTGCGCACAAACGATAATTAGTCAAAGCGCTATTTCAAAGTGCTGAACTAATCTGTGAAACCGACCAACTACCGAGTGACGACTTGCTGAAAGGACCCCATTGACCAACGGTTACTCAGAACAAAACAAAACCCTCTAGTCTGTCAAACCACCGAAGCTAGGGTTAACAGCCAGAAACTTCATTCCCCTATGAACCATACTTATAGAGTGGTTCAGTTGCGCCTGGTCTCGACAATTCCACTCTAAGTAGGTCGCAAGCGTTAAGAGATCATTCTGCCTCGCATGTCATTTATAAGTTGACCAACAGTTGCGGTGACACCTGTATCGACAGTACTGACTGATATCTCCCTCAGTTGCTGCAGACTTTGCGGCGCAGTGAGTTAACGCCATTACGGACCAAACCGGATAGTGGATCAGTCACTGCTCAACAAATCTCTGTGACAGGTCACCTGACTGACTCTGCTCATGCTGTCGCCTACTGTTACGCAATAAATGCCCAGAACTATCGGCTTTCTGTGAAACTGTTTACACGAGCACGGAACCCCAAACTTTGCGCACATGAACCATCGATCCAACAAAACTGGAACTAAACCGAAACAGCACTACTCTTACTCAGATCACTGCCGTTCCACGATTGTACCGGATAATTGGCATTGGACATCTGGATAATCTCACCCAAACTTCGGTTGACACATGCTATTTTTAACCCGAATCAAGATATCCCAACATCTACCAGTAACTAAGAGGATAATAAGCCGTTGGAACAGTTCATCTCGTCTAGCCCATGTGTGGAGTTAACATTGAAATATCCCTCATTTTGAGGTTTATGCTGTCAACTCTTATTTTCACAAACTGTATGGCAGTATCGGATACACATTCTAGGTAAATGCTCCAGATATTTGTTTGCCTATGTAACCGGTATGACGGTTTTACGATTTTCGCTCGAGGGTACAAACCATTTTGAAATCAGTTATGTTGTTATTACCAGAGTTTAAAAACCGGACCGACTCAGCTTTTGTTCACTGTGGTACTAATAATGGTACTACTGATAATAAAATTCACACCATCATATTCAGGAGGTCCGCTAGGTCGCTAGAAGTGTACTTGACCGACACGCATACATTAGTAACGAAGTTTCGTATTACTTTAGTGGAACAAAAGGACAAAAGGTCACCTTAGAAAAGCACAGGTGAATTGTAAAAGATGAGAGGTAGGCAAGCTAGTAGCTTACACAGTGTGAAACGTAGCAGCCTCGTTCAGCCAATTGTTTGGTGAGAAGGAAAGATGGAAAATTCAAGCACAGCATGAGATAAGAATAAAACGGAAATGGAACGGATGGACTGGAGGAAACTGACTGGAACTGACTCATAGATACGGCTAGTTACGAGGAGAACCATGAGCAACACCGTTCATTTTATTCGGAATCTGATTTCTCATCCTCTGGGGACCGGAGCCATGACAACTTCGTCCGTTTCTGCAGCTTGTTTTTCGCTTCCTCAGCGCGTCGCTTGGTGCTGTAATCCAACGCTTGAAGGCATACCAAAATCACCTGAATCATCTTCCCGTTCAAGTTATTCAGATGTTCCGGTAGGGCATAGATGCGCGCCCCGGCTTTTCGGCAACAGGAGATCGCGTATGTGCACATGGAAAAATCATCCGTGTTACTATTTAGCCACACATCACGGTTGGTTGATCCCGGACGGATTTGTTCCAAGATCTGTAAAATGGGCACACCAGTGGCCAAAGCGGGGTCCCGGAATCCATTCAAAGTCTTAGCTTTGGCCTCTGTGAGCGTGTCGTTTGCCCAGATGAGTACATCCTTATCGTCACGAGGCATCAGCTGTTCACCAGTTGCCTAATACCACAAGATTAAAAGGATCAGTGAAAAAACTATCCAGTGCGCGGAATATAGGTGTAGCAAATTATTCAAAGTGAATATTTATAGCTGTGGATTGCATGTTAACTTGCACTTCCAAGATTTTTTATCTATCGGACCACTCAAAATCAATGACTTTGAACGAAGTATATACCGATGGTTGTACTCCTCCTTGACATGGAACGATTTATGAAGTCATTAAGAAGCCTAGACAGCTCAGAACCGTTTTAGCACTTCTTGAGTTCTGTTAGGTAAGCATATTCTTATCTTCAACTCAATATAAAACTTCGTTTCTCTAGTGCACACTCTCTGGCACTCTTTCTGGAACACTCTGAACGACTTAAATGGCTTACTGTCAAAAATATGGATTTACGAGATTTAAAGTCAGACTAAACTTATTGATCAGTCCAAACTGACCTTGACGATTCATCGATCTGTAGCTGAAGTGCACGCACCATTTAGTCCATGTCAAAGATGATCACATCAGAAAATTGCTGGTCAACTGGAAACCAAGCTACTTCTATTGCACATCCTTACAGAACCATGAACGGCACAAAACAGAACCAGGTAGCAGCTAGAAACTTCAGGCCTTACTTACTTCATGCAGTAACTTGTACGTGTAGGCATGCATAAGTTGGAATACTACACCAAGGATGAGTTTCTTGTTCCGCTCACGAATGTCCTCTCCACTCACATTAACAAAGATTATGTTAATTTTCTTCGCACTTGTAATCACCATGTTACAGTTTCCCTGTTCCTGGAAAAGACGCTTCAGTGGGTCAAAAACGTTTACAACTTTGGACCAGTCAACAGTACCGGGCTGAATCAAGTCGATTAGCTGTAGTAACACAAGTCCGTTGCTTAGGTCAGTGTCCAAAAATGTGACAAATGGTCGCACTCCCAAGGAGTTCATCCAGTTTCTATAAGTTCGTTCTTCTAGTGTCTCGCCCACAATTTTCCAGTCACTCTGTGTGTCCAAGGACGGGTACATGTTGAACAAATTTGCCAAGAAGGCCAAATGCAAACGGTTGCTTCCTTCATTAGCTTCATATATGTCCTCAGGGGACAGGAAAGCTCTGGCATTGAGAAGTTCAGCATTACTCAAAACAGCATTAGCTCGTTCTTTGTGATTACCAGCCAAAACTTCACCAGGACTCCTTAGCTTATTTTTCTTCTCCATCGGAGAAATCTGATCGAGTAGGTAGGCATAAATTACTGAGTCTCGTAGATCTGCATTGAAATTGGTCATTCGTCGATCGATTCCGGCACGAGCTAAGTGATAGTTCACCCAGCGCATCAAAAGCTGTTCCGGCTTCAGACGTAATAAATCTTCCGGTGATTCCCCATCCATCAGCAGGCAAATTAGTTCACTGTGTTGCGTTAAGGTGATGGTATCCACTAGTCCCTTTCGGATAAGTTGCCAGATCAAGCCCAAGACGATATGACGTTTCTTTTTTTCCACATCGTCCGGGCCCATATTTACAACACAGCAACCGATCGCAGCGGCGGAATTGATTGCCAGTGTCAAGTTTTCGTTGACCTACAGGAGAAATGATTGAAGGCATTTAATAGGAAGTGACCGATCGAATATTTCGCTCCTCATAGTCATCAGTCAGACATCTTCGAAAAGGGAAATCTAGCTAGATGGGTCTACCTAGATTGAAATTCTCAAAATTAAGTTTTTTTTACATTTGGCACTTTCCCATTTCGGTCCTAACACATCCCCATAAAAATATAGACCATTGGTTAGATCTTCCATTGAGTATAATCAGATTGGTGTGGAAGAAGTTACCCACCAAACCAATTCGTTTAGCTAGTGAATTTGAAGCGAACGATCACTTTTCCCTTGATACAATGTGACGCTACTTGAGACTAACCTTAGCACTATCTCAGATTGTAGATGGGATTGTGAACCTGAAATAACGATGCTCGATCGTGTCAGGCGTTACATTGGTCAAGTGTAGAATGACTGATTTATTGATAGTCATGTTGTTTATGTGAATGGAATAGTAATCCTGAATGGGACTACAACTGACTGTTCTTGAAAGACAAATTGCTTAGTGTGTCATACACTGTCACTTCTCCTAAATCTGACGATACCTTATGATGCCTAGTTCACACTCAGAAGATATCTCGATATAAAACTGAAATGCCCCCGTCGGCCTTCAGACCCAAAGTCACAACTACTTCGGGATTTCGTTTCACACTAAGATCCCGTGACATGCTTACCAGAATGGTCTAGATGTTTTAGGAAGATTTTCAACATCATAGCTAATTTTTAATGGTTTTAATCTGAGTCTAGAAAGGAGACCCAAGACGGAAAACTGACGCAATTGTCCCCGTCTGGGTAGACTACCGTAGCGTTTCCGCTACAATGTGGTTTCTTCTGAGGTTAGGTTCATCAATTAGCTACTCCTCGACCGACCAAGAGAGTGGCCTCTTCCGAAAACAACCTCTCTCTGTTAAACAAAAGTACTCGCCATTTGAATGGAACGAGAAGCAATCGGAAGATATACCGCATAAAATTACAAGACCCTTTTCAAGTCACATGAGACCACCGTGTCCGAGTGGATAATATTTTTGGCTTACACTTCGACAAAAAGTTAATGCCCCATCAATTCTCCTTCAAACCTGCTTTTAGTTAATGTTCTGTCCATCCGTAATAATGCTTTTTTCCACCAACGTAGAAAAGAAAACATTTTGGAGGTGACAAAACTGCAAATTACATTCGTGTTAACGGGTGAATCAACTGAAACTCTCGTTTATGCTATTCTTCAGCCGAATTTGCTGCACACAGTCTGTCTCATATCTCACTTGTGTCCAATTCGGTTTCAAGCAGAACTCCATGTTGGAAATTTCTGGACAGTACCTACTTGATGAACTCTAGAAAAGGCGAAACCGGTCATGGGCTGCAGAGGAGTTTTTCTCTATGAAAAATATGTCGCGATATCTCGAATACCGTACCAATTGAAACATGAGGCGGCCTTTGTGCAGTACATTCAGCTGAAGAATATCATCAATGAGTGACTCAGTTGAGGCTCCCTGCCTGCCTGCCTATCTACATGTCTGATTGATGGGTTGACTGGTTGATTGGCCGATCGATCGATCAATAGACCAACCGGGTGGCTGGTTGATTGTCTAAATCGACCCTTTATCCACAAATCCAACTATTTGTTCCCCTATTGGTTCCTTCTTCATTCATTCACATGTCACTGTTGCAGCTGACAACCTTCAGTGTAAAAAGAATTTGTGCTACTTGTTAAGCGTATGTACTCAAATGGCTTGTGCTTATCGAGCCATTCATTCTGCAACGTGCAGTCGTAGGGATTGGGATTGATCGATTCCCGGGACAGATAATCACCTGGGCTATGTGACAGTATCTGCACAGACGGTAAATTTTGTCCAGCCGCAAGTCACAGTTAGCATCTTACAAGCTAAACATGAGGGAACAAAGCCAAACCAGTAGGAAAATACATGGAGGTGGCTCATGCCAGCCACGGAAAGCAATCGCGTAGACACGGAAGAAAAACTCACATTGAACACGTTTTTCAAGGTGGCACCTTTGTTGATACTGCGCTCATCAATTGTATTTGGACTGGCCACATTGATTAGTTTACACAAAAGAATACCATTTTTACATTTTTCGTAAAGTTCGCCATCTTTGCCCACATCGATCGGTAGGATTTCGACCAGATCGGGATCACCTGCGAGACGCTTGTTGATCCAATTGGTGAATCCAACCTCCTCGGCTTTGCTGACCGAATGACGAACCTCGGCGTCCTTATCGCTAGTGAAGGCCTGTAGATATTTAAAATGTCTAACAAATTAAAAGGCTTAAGATAAAACGGATTCAATGTGTTAATTGAAATCCACCTGATTAGTTTGGAACAGAGATTGACAAACTGTGGCACGCGATTCTTTGGGTTCTGCAAGAAAGTTTGAATGCTTAATGAATCCATTACGATTTCAAAAAATTAGGAAACTGTTTTATTTGATCAGTTATTTGATCAGTTCAGTGTATTCTGTAGAAAAGCACGCTTGGCTTTCCTAGATCTGTATCTGTAGTATTTTTCATAAGGATTCTGACCCTGGAAGCCTCCTATACTTATAGCATGTTTGCTGTAGCTCTCAGAATCACGTTTTGAAATGGCTGGGTATGTGGCTCAGTCTTCTGAGGGCAATGATTTCCACTATGGGAATAGTGGAAACTCGGGTTTTCTACGAGAGACTACCCAAAAGAGCATTTTTCCTTCACTTCACTTTGATTGGGGACCAGAATTTCATGTAAATTGCAATCGGAAGGACGAATCATTTGCTACGAATATAAAATCTATTTCTTGGTTATCATAGATATGGCTTCACGCTGTCATTAGGGGAGGTATAACTAACTGAACTGGTAGTTGATGGCCGAATCGCCGGCACCAATAAGCATGAGTTTTTCGGCTGAGTGCAAAAACAAATTTTTAAGACCCTCATGAAATATCTGGGGTATTCCAACCTCTGATCTGTGTCCACAACAAACCATACTGCAAATTAACTATGGCTTCGCAATTACAATCGGAAATCTCTGTTAGACAGTCTCAACGTTGGTGATCCCATACAGTCACCTCTGGAATGTCTCCTGGTGTAATTCAATTTAGTGGTTGACTGAGGAAGTTCATTCTTAAGGGAATCCACCAATTATAGAAGATTCTGAAGAGTTGTCCTGGGTTAGGGCTGTCCACCTGGTTTAGCATACTCCACGAATTTGGTGCTAGAACTCCAACAGTACCGTATAGCAAAAAAAGTTTGATGGTGGGGTAAATAGTGCATCTTTAGCAGAACTGAATATTGCCGGCACCTAGAGATGAATTAGACACCCTGCTGCATAGTTACATAGCTAAGTTTTGTAGCATAGGTTAGTCTAATAAAGGATTGTGGGGAAGACACATCGTGCTTGACTGGTGGAGCAGTATTTCAGAAGCTGAAATTTCAAAACTGCCTTTCGGTGTAACCAGTAGCGCTTAGTTTTGCACGTAGAGATATAATGACCGGTGATCATCTTTTATCGAGGGATCTGCTTTCCTCAATCCGCTAAGACTGTTATTGCACCGGAACTTCCTAAGGTCACAGTCAGTGATTTGTGTTTGCTTGCCGTTGTGGGCCCTCCACTTACTTACGACACTTTTTTTGAGTGGTAATGGCGTTGAGTGTACATTCTTTCCATTTAATCTCACAACAGACCCAGTGTGACGGACACTTTGTGCCTTATTTGCAAGTCTTGACTGTGCTAGCGCCTACCGCGCCTTGAAAAGCATTCAGCATTGTTTGTCTTTTCTTCGGTGGTTGTTCTTGACACGCGTGCTTCCATACCAAACACTTTTATATACGTTGGGATTCATCCTAGCTGACTGGAACTGCTGGTAGCATAACTCCGAATGAGGCATTTCCCTGTTTTATCTCATATTCTCATGTGAAGCTCTCGCATTTATCGCTTACATTCACTTTTTATGTCTGTGACCATGTCCTTCAAAAATAAGCGATAACAGTAGGAAGATACCTAACTAAGGCTTAAACTTAAACTGGGCAATGGTCTGTACTGTGATTTCTGAGTTTTTCTCCATACATATTAGGAAAGACTTTTGCTCAAGCTCTAAACTTTCTACTATTTTGGGCTTACCTTAACGTCCGTCACTGTCTTTAGCAGGAGGGCTTTGCGAATATTTTTAGCGGTGTCTTTCAAATCACGGGCTCGGGAATACAGATGAGCGAATTCGTCCATAGTAAGCCATTGTTGCGGGGTGCCTGTGAGCTCTCGGAGTTCGTGACCAGCCAAAGGCACGCGGAGCAAATCCAGTGCATCTTTGATATCCCCCCATGCCAAACAGTGGGAACTAGAAAGGTAACTGAAGCGTTTGCAGAGATCATCGTATTGTTCCTGGGTGAGCCCGTTATCGCCTGCATCCACTTCCGTTGCCATCTTGGTAGGACCGTTGCTGCTTTGCTGCTTCGTAGCAGACTTCGCGAAGAATAAGTGTCTGATTAGAAGTTCATCAATATGTATCCATATATGTTTATCACTTGTGGCTTTCCGTCATGCCACATGGAACGTGATGAGAGAAACCGTGGTTCACGGTGTACGTGTGTGCTTGCACGCCCGTGAGTTACATTGTGATTTCGTGTTGACCAGTTGGATGCTCTCTGGTTCTCTCAGTGCAGGTTTTGTGTGCAACTATGAAGACATACATACCGTCACATAGGTGCATGCACACTACATGATCAGCCTGTGACACTCACAGATCGAAGCGAATCAAACAGCTCGGAATTCGGATCAGCACACCCAGGAAGCTTGGTAAATTGTGTCAATCGGAAAGTGACATTTCACGTTGGTCGTGCACATTTCCGAGTGCCAAGAGCGACAGTGCTCATGTCGAAGAAGGTCCGACGGTATGGTTATGAATATGAGCTGTTTTGGATCAATACTGGTCGATGAGTGCCGGTTTGTATTTCCGCTTTGCGCAGTTGCCTTTAGCTTGTGGAAGAAACTGCGACTAATACTCACAAAAGTTTTATTTTGACTATTAAGGGGGAAACCTGGGAAAAAGCAGACTGCTCAGGAGTGTGTATGATGTTCACGTTAAGATAACCGTTTATTTCATTTATTTGACGTTTTTCCGAACAAGACAAACAGTGGAGGCATTTCACAACACAATAGTCAGACAGTGCAAGTTTTATGTATGCGCGATCGCACCTTGGATATCCTCATAGATCTCGGTTCAAAAGATGTATACATCTAACGATAT